CACTAGATGCATGTTGGATAGCGGTCGATGTTTGGAGTAATAGTAGTAGATGCAGGCAGTAGTCGATCTACTAATCTTAGACGTGATGCCTATAATGATCATTGCCTAGATATCGTCATGATTATTTGAAGTTCTATCAATTTCCCAACCGTAATTTGTTCACCCACTGTTTGCTATTTTTCTCGAGAGAAGCCACTAGTGAAACCTACGGCTCCCGGGTCTCTTTCTCATATTATTTGCCTTTGCGATCTATTTTCCTTTGTTTTATTTTCAGATCTATTAAACCAAAAATACAAAAATACCTTGCTGTAATTTATTCTTATTTAGTTTATTTGGCGTTCGATCTATCGATCTACTGCAGTTTTATTCACGTCCGTTTGCTCATTTGGGGCGCCGCTACCCGAAAGGGATTGACAACCCCTTTTACACGTAGGGTTGCGAGAAGTTGTTATTTGTGTGCAGGTGTTGTTTACGTTGTGTTGCTTGGTTCTCCTACTGGTTCGATAACCTTAGTTTCACATCTGAGGGAAATACCTACCGCTGTTGTGCTGCATCACCCCTTCCTCTTTGAGGAAATACCGATGTAGCTTCAAGCCGCATCACAGGGAAATATTTATTCGAATAGTCGTGTCCATGGTAACAGACGCTCGGAGTTGTATCCTGATCTATTACAACTAGGACTAGATACTAGAGACACTAAATGGATATGATGGCTCCAGGACCGCTTTCCCGCAGGGAGTAGAGGAAGGATCTCGGGGCATTACTATAATATACTTGTTACTTTATAATATGCTAATCTGCACTCTTCTAATACTGAAAGAGGATGCAAGATTCTAGTCCTCGATAGGCTAGGTCTTCCCTCCCATTCTAGCATTTCTGTAGTGAAGTTCAAGGATAAAGCCCCATTCCTTTGATACAAATGCATACTTTGTATAGATTTGATGTAAGTCTTGCGAGTTCTTTGGATGAGTACTCATAGTTGCTTTGCTACCTCTTTTCCCCTCTACCCGATTGTTGCGATCAGATGACGGAGCCTAGGAGCCAGCTGATCCCGTCGACGATTATTACTACCCCGATGGAGCCTACTACTACATGGAGACCGCCAACGACTAGGAGTAGTTAGGAGACCCCGGGCAGGAGGTCTGCGCCTTTTCGATCTAGTTATCGTTGTTTTGCTAGCCTTCTTTAAGGCAGACTTGTTTACTTATGTATGTACTCGCATGTTGTTGCTTCCGTTGACTTATGTATTCGAGCCTTCGTGGCTCTGACTTGTAATATAAAGCTGTATGACTTTAATTTATGTCTAGAGTTGTGTTGTAATATCTTTTTGTGAGTCTCTGATCTTGATCGTGCGCATTTGCATGTATGATTAGTGCATGATTAAGTCGGTGCATCACATAATGGAACCTCCATGAAAATGGACAATTAACAATGGGTCTATGTATAGAGTGTTAATCCAGTTTGATGTGCCAGTTGATAATAATAAGAATATCTAGAAGATGAAGATACCTCTTAAGAATAAAACCTTTGGTTTAAAAAAGGAATAAAATCTTTGCATGGTATCTTCGTCGCAGAGTCATTCTTACTAAAGATAACCTTATTAAGAGAAATTGGCATGGAAGTCCGTAATGTGTCTTTCGTCACCATGATGAGATAATGAAACATTTATTATTCCAATGCAAATTGACTCGTTTTATATGGTCTGTCATCCAAATAGCTTCTGATTTGTATCCTCCCTGTAGTATTGCTAATTTATATGGTAACTGGTTACATGGGATTGATCACAGGTTTATAACTCTTCTCAGGGTGGGAGTGCTTGTCGTCAGGGCCGGCCCTGTGTTTCGGGAGGCCCTAGGCAAACTCGACGACATGGGCCCCTATGTCCTAAGTCCTAAGACCATATATATGTATGTGTGTGCGTTATATATATAACTTATTAAGAGTAACTTTCAAACACATCTTTACTTTAAAATTTAACCGTAATAATTCAAATGATTCCATCAAGAACAAAAAATACCAAATTCGAAGTGACTCTATCACCAAGAATAATACTAAAAAGATCACAAAATGAAACCCTAGACATGTACATAGAATGACAAAAAATTAATAGATTGGATTAGAAAATTTTAAAATTTCGTGCATACTAAAATTGGAGGATGGATCATGGATGTATAGTTGAATACGTACATACTAAATAAAGAATAATAAACTACTGAAATTGTCAAATTAAGATTTAGGGGGTGGACAACAAGTAAGGAACATGGATGAAAACGTTCAAACGTACTCACTTGCAGAATTTTAGGGATTGAAGACGGCCGCGTTGTAGACTTCAAGACTTGCAGTCGGATGTATACTAGGTATTGTCGTGGTGCCGCCTTGCCGGATGCCCGATAGCCAAGCTGCCGGACTGTCGTGCGGCGTCGGTGCGTGCAGCTCCAGCGGGCAGCAACAGCCGAGGCGAGGGCGGCGCGGCAAGGCGCCGAGAGAGGAGGCCGATGGGCGTCACGGGCGACGAACCTACGAAGGAAAACGAGCAGTCGTGTGCCTGGCAATTCGCGTGTGTCACACCGCATGACGCGCTTGGTATTTGCTAATCAATCGGGGTCGCTAGCTAGCTATCTGATGAGCCTCTTATTTCTATTTTTTAATTCCTTTGTATTTTTTACCTATTTTTTGTTGGGCTATAGTATATATAAATACTCCATCATGGACCCTTCCCTCGCCTGGGCCCTAGGCCGTCGCCCCGCCGGCCATACCCTAGGGCCGGCCCTGCTTGCCGTTATTTGGTCGCTTTATCTATATAAAGAAATGATAAGGTTTTTTAACGGTAAAAGTACTTCTCCGATGCGGGTTATCTACAGATGTATCGGGACTTCTCGTTTATGGTCATCTCTATAACGCGTGAAGAATCAAATCTGTTTACGGAGGTGTGTACATATTTGGAGGCTGCGGCGAGTGATACTTTTACCCAACATGGGTGACAACATGATGTTAAGATTGACCCCCTCCCCCCTCCGCTTTAGGCATTATACAGACTCTACATGTTTCTTTGTATTTCGCCTTTTATTTTTGTCTGTATGAGAGGACCTTGTTTGGCTGTCTGCAACTTAGTTATGCTGAGCCGGGGTGTAATGCTTAACTTTTTAAGTAATAAAGCGTCCCTTTTCAAAAAAAATCCACTCTAGCAATTAAAATTTTATTCACATCAATTTACAGTCATCACCCTAGATGCTGATTATGATTTGTGTGCAGGACTAACCGGAGTGCGAGGAAATTGCAAGCGCATTGTTTGGTACAAAAAGTTAAACAAAAGGAGAGAAGCTGCATGTGACATTCCTTGGGAGGTGGGAGCTGTCTTTTGACCTTTGGGCAACCTGGATGCTTGTACGTAAACAGGAGCATGTGATCCAGGGCCCGACGACTCACGTGTCTGCTACTCGTACTACTACTCGTGTATGTATGGATAGAGAAAAATCAATCATGGGCTCGTAATAATGGCGCCACTCCTCATCTATCTGTAGATAAAATTCCATTATTGCAGTATCATAATGCAGCAGCATCGAATCAACGATGCCCCACACGCCAAGCATGTTCTTCGGACAAGCATTCCCTTCCCGGCTTCCCCCATTCCCGTTCTCATCTTATCATAGGAGTTCGGACTCCGCATTCAATTCGTTTTGAACGAAGAGACAGCTGGATATCGCATGCTATTCTAGGCAATGTTATCTACAAGCACCACGACAAAATATGCGGAAATAACCGAGAAAGTGTAGACCTCATATATGAGACCAAAATGCTTTTATTTGGATGAAGAGTATCCGGTGGAAAACCGAATTGTTGCGGAAACCATGTTTGAAGTGTAGACCTCATATATGAAACAATGAACAATAAAAGAAAGTACAGATGGCGATGTAAAATCTTTACATAATTATTCATCATCATGTGAGTTAGGTAAAGTTTCTACTACGACCCTAGTCCAAATCCGGCACATTAAAGTATGGAGGAACAAATCGTCCGCATGTGTGCCTCCCTGACCTTTTCCATGTGAGCCGAGTGGCAATGGTCAACAAATCAGAAATCACTTCACCCCACACCACACTGACCGACCCATGTCCCTCCCTCCTTTGACGTTTTGACCCACCCCATCATCCCATCTCACCGCTAAACTAAACTAAACTAAAACCCTTCCCCAAATATAGATCTCCTGCCGTCCGTCGCCGCTCCGACGGCCCGGATCCGCCCAGCGGCAGCGTTTCCTAACGTGGCGCCGCGATAAACTAGGCCAAGTGGCGACGAATTTTCCACGGCGTGGGGGGCCGGGGAGCAATATTATACAGGCCGGCGGCCTCGGCTGCAGGAAAACAAATGGGGACGGAGAATTACTCCTAATTTCTTCTCCACCCCGGCCTGGTCTCCGTCCGCTCCTTCGTTCACACCTTCTTCCACTAGCTGGTCTCCGGTGGTGGTGGGGGACGGGACGACCGTCGTCCGTCGACTCCGAGCGAGCTCGCGGCCGCGGTTCTGGATTCATCGCGCGCGCGAGAGGATCCCCCTCCCCGAGGTGAGTGGGCGGGCGGGCTCGGCGCCGTCGTGCTTGCTTGCGCGGGCGAGCGCTTCTCTTTCTTGGGGGAATCTTGGAGGGTGTGGCGGTGGTGGTGGGGTTGTTGCCCCCGCTTGATGCGTCCGCACGCAACAAAATCGCCTGCTAGGGTCGCTTCTTGCCGCCGCGGGTTCATCCTCTCTCTCTCTCTCTCGGTGCCCACTCCTGCCGCTTCTGCCGGACTGGCTTCCGCCGTGATCCGGTCCGGGAACGCTTTCTTGGTCCTCAGCCTGTTGCTCCTGTGATGGCTGATGCGAGTAATACAGAGTAGCAGCCTTGGTGAGCTTTTCTTGAGATCTGAGTGAGTTTTCTCTCCCATTTCCTGCTCTGCAGATCTGCCGTGGTAGGGTGAGAGCTGCCGAGTAGCCGAGGTGCTGGTGAGCTTCTCAAGAAAGTAAAAATGGAGGAGGTGGAGGAGGCCAACAGGATGGCCGTGGAGAGCTGCCACAGAGTGCTCGGCCTGCTCGCCCAGACCCAGGACCCGGCGCAGCTCAGGAGCATAGCGCTGGGGACGGACGAAGCCTGTGCCAAGTTCAGGAAGGTGGTCTCCCTCCTCGGCAACGGCAACGGCAACGGCAACGAAGGAGGGGGAACCCACCATCCTAGAGCCAAGCTGGTGAGCAGAAGGCAGACCCCGGGGTTCTTGAGCCAGAAGAGCTTCCTGGACAACAACACCCCGGTGGTGGTGCTGAACAGCGCGCACCCTTCGACCAGCTCGGCTCAGGTGTATCCTAGCAGCAGAAACAGCATTCTGGATTCATCACAGGCCGCGCACCCGATCGGAGGGCCTCCCAAGCTGGTGCAGCCGTTGTCCGCGCACTTCCAGTTCGGCGACTCATCGCGGTACAACCAGTTCCAGCAGCAGCATCAGCACCAGCAGCAGAAGATGCGGGCCGAGATGTTCAAGAGAAGCAACAGTGGGATCAACCTCAAGTTTGACAGCCCCAGTGGCACCGGGACGATGTCGTCCGCGAGGTCCTTCATGTCATCTTTGAGCATGGACGGCAGTGTGGCCAGCCTGGATGCCAAGTCTTCCTCCTTCCATCTGATCGGTGGGCCTGCTATGAGCGACCCGGTGAACGCGCAGCAGGCGCCGAGGAGGCGGTGCTCGGGACGTGGGGAGGATGGAAATGGCAAGTGTGCTGCAACTGGCAGGTGCCATTGTTCTAAGAGAAGGTAGTAAATCTGCTATCTTTGGTGTTTCTGATTCTTTTGATTCAAGACAGGGCACCATGATAATTGTTATCTACCCTATTTCAGCAGGAAGTTGCGGGTGAAGAGGACGATTAAAGTTCCCGCAATTAGTAATAAAATTGCTGATATACCTCCAGACGAATACTCCTGGAGGAAGTATGGGCAGAAGCCAATTAAGGGTTCCCCTCATCCCAGGTATTCTTTAGTAATGTAATCTTTCTAGTTGTGTACTGCACATTTGATACTTTGTAGGGTGGTTTTTCTTTGCTAACATTTTTATTATACAGTGATAGAAATTAGTCATGATGATGCTGTAATCACCATAGCACATCAACTTTGTTGGTAAAGATGTGATCATTTACATGCTATTATGGAATGCACGACTGATACAACCATGAGCACTCAAGTGCCTTGTGATAACTAATGTGTCAATGATAATCAGAACACACTTTATCCAAGGAATGTGTTTTCTTGGGTGCTGTACATGTTTGTTTTCTATCCTCTATGCGATTCGGTATCCATGAGGTGTCGATGCCTTAATTGCTATGACATTAACTAATTACTTCGTGGATGATGCCATTCTTTCTTTCCCATGCCACTTTTGGAAAATATATCAATCATGAGTCTTAAAGTGACCACTTCTTAATTCAACCGAGATCATGCTATCGTGATTCACCCACCATATACATATAATAATCCTATCCAAATGACTTGCCTGATGATAAAACACACAAATATAGCTGTACAGTAATGGCAACCACATAAATATGGTCCTCTGAATTGGCACAGAATTTTTCCTCTTTTTAATAAACACCGGATGTAGAAACATGGCTCGTTGTACTTCTATTTTTATTTCCAACCCAACATGTTTCTAAGTTTGATTTTTCCCTGGAGAAGACTAACCAATGGCTGAACTCAAAATGCAGGGGGTACTACAAATGCAGCAGTGTGAGGGGTTGCCCTGCGCGGAAGCATGTTGAGCGTTGCGTGGATGATCCATCGATGCTCATTGTGACATACGAGGGTGAACATAACCATACACGAATGCCAACTCAGTCTGCGCAAGCTTAGGGAATCCCTTGATTATTACTCTTTTCAGGAAATGCCAACTCGCCGGCACTTGTTGGACAGACTGCGTTCTTCTCCTAAATTAGGACTGCGAAGTGACAAATATGGGATCCATTTGAGCAGTTGATGTGTCGGTTGGCCTCCTGACCTACATGTTTTGTAGTGAGTGTCAAGTGGGAGGATGCAAAAATGTTGTTCTCCCTTATGGAGGTAATCAGAATGATGAAATGTTAGAACATGATGTTAGATAGGACACCTGAGATTTGCTCAGGAGGGAGTGCGAAGAGTTGGAAGGGAAGATAGAAATTGGGGGATGATATGTCTGTAAAGTAGCAAAAATTGATAAAATCACTGGGTCTCCCTCTTTTTGTACCAAGTGCACAAAAAGGCTGGTTTAAAATCAAAAATAAATGAGACAGAACCAATTTGTGGTTGGATACATTGGTGTGTTGTACCTCCAGGCTCTAGCTCATCAGAGACAAAACCAAGTTAAATATCTTGTGTGTGCTCTTCAATAGTCAGCTCGTTTGATTAAGGATGTTTATATCATCACAACTTGTTAGTTGCCAATTAATTTGTGTTTTATAATTTAAACGAACACTGATTTAACCCATAAAGGGAGTATTTTCTAGAGAATCCTACTACCTCTATACCAAAATATAAGCTGTTTTTTAGGTTAAACTAGCCTAAAAACATTTTATATTTTGATATGGAGGGAGTACAAAATAAATAAACGACTGGTAATTAAAATGTACTACTAATACATGGAAAGCCATTGACCCAAAAAGTCGTTGTAGATTCCAGCGAATGTAAGGGGCTGTTTGGATTGCAGCCGCGGCTTGCCCAACCAATTTTTTGGTCGTTGACTGCTCCCACATGCTTCGCTTGAATCAGCGCCAGGGCCAATATTTTGGTTGCCCCGTTCAATTTCTATGCCCGCGCGTTGGTGAGATCATGGCGGTTCAATTTCTATGCCCGCGCGTTGGCGAGATCATGGCGGCAGAATCCTTGGCCAAATCTTTGGCGAGCCAATTTTGGTGGGCTGGCTGGGGTGTGATCCAAACAACCCCTAAGACAACAAATACTCCCTTTGTCTCTATTTACATGGCTACACTTGTTCATGGTTGAATTTTGATCATTAATTTAATCAAGAACTATTTTTTATAACATATAATATAATTAACATATCAGAAATCTAATTGATGGTCAAAAATTGATGGCAGAAAATAAGAGCGCTTTGAAAGTAAGGATAGAGGGACCATGATGATGCTTGTCATTTGAGCTAGGGATTAGAAGGGCACTTTCAGAAGACTCGTCAATTCTTACCCTCCAATCATTTCGCAAGAGACAGAAAGAACTGAACTTGTACCAACAGGGCATTAACAAAGTCATGAAAAAGAAACAAGATTCGATCTTTCTATTTTGAGTGAGGCATGAGCATGTCTGCTAGGCATTGGTGCGGGAGACCTCAAACAAGTGATCGCGTAATGTCGAAACGGACTACAACATTCTTTAGCGTTGCCGCGCGCAAAAAGAAAACATTCTTTAGCATCAATTTTGAATGCTCTGGTCCCAAGCAATAATGCAATACACAGTACAGTAGTATATGATTCATTGAATGTCTTGCGTACACGGTACACGTTTAATTCTTTCCTTCTTGTTTGGAATAATTTTTAAAATGATTTGGAGATGTGCGCCATGCGTGCATGCCCGGTCTTGACTCTGGCTTTTGCTGGAAGGAACAGCGTTGCTCGCTCGCTTGTGGCAAGAGAATAAGCGGGGGCATATGTCATGACGCGTGACCATGAGTGATGCGTTTTATTTTTATGTGTGTAGGTAGACCATGCGTGATGTGGTGCCCAAGCAGAGGCGCAAAGCATATAGTACTTTTTTTAAGGACTAAAGCATATACTAGTACTCTAGAGTGTCCCTTCTTTTGCTCCCGGGGTGCATATGCACTCGATGAAAAGTGAAATGAATAAGTTACTTATTTAGAAAAAAAAATCATTTTTTTGTGTGTTGGTAAATTTCAACTGCTTTAACAGTTTGGTGATAGAATGACATTCATGGAGGTCTAGAGAAAAGAAAAATCAGGCTCCAAAATGTTTCCAAAAATAGCACTTTTGCAGCATCGTTTTTTTTTGCCGGGAGCATCGAGAATGGTTTTCAACCATGAAATTTTGTACGCATGTGAAACATTAACCTACGTTTTTCTGAACCTTTTCCTACTATTTTGACATTTTACTATTCATCCAGGTGCATATGCACCGGGAGCAGAAGCTCCACGTCCATTGAACTCAATCTTATTTTCAATAGTATAAGTTTGTGGAACACATAACTCATGCATTATTGGTTAAGTTGACCTCGAGGCCCCCGGCCCAGACGGCCTACATTCTGTAGTTTACAAGAGGTTTGGCACATAATTGGAGAGGACTTGATTGATGAAGTGTTACTTGCTGTCAATTCTCGTACGATCCATGAGGGGTGGAACAACACAATTATTGTGCTCACCCCGAAGATTGACAACCCGGAAGTTATAACACAATTTTGGTCGATTAGCTTGTGTAATGTGGTCTATAAAGTGATTTGGAAACTCCTTGCAAACCGAATGAAACATTTTCTTTCTGAGATTATCTCCACAAATCAAAGTGCCTTCGTTCCTGGACGGCTTTCTGAAAGTGCAACTAGTCCCCCGGTGGTTTTGGTAACTCATAACAACATATAGCTCATTGAACTAATATCCATTCAAACTAAATATTTTAGAAAGTTCAATGATTGGTATGACATGGACTAGAGATGTGGACTCCTCAAAATGCTAAGGACACATATTGACAAAAGCTCAAGACTCTCCATTTCTATTTTAGTGATCCAAGATCATATTGAGTCCATAGGAAAGCCAATACTATTAAAAGGGGATGAGGTGTTGCTTAATGGTCTACTTTCTCCAAGTGCTTAGTGATATTGCTCCAAAACCCTCAACCACTTTCTCTTCCAAATATGTCCAAAACTCAAAGTCAAACTCGGCCCCACCGAAATGATCCATCCGGCGCCACCGAGTTCAGTTGACATAGCCACTGCCAGAAACCCTAGCAATTCGGTTACACCGATACGGATCTTGGTCTCACCGAGATGGCCCTGCAAACTCTCTGTTGCCTGTTGCAATTATTTCGGTCTCATCGAGATGGGCAATCGGTCCCACCGAGTTTGCTTGACCAACTCTCTGTTTGCCCTTTGTTGAAATCGGTCTCACTGAGTTCAAGCAATCGGTCTCACCGAGAGGAGGTTTTGCCCTAGCCCTAACACATCAGTCCCACCAAGTTGTTCCAGTCGGTCCCACCGAGATTTCTAACGTTCACATTTTGAACTGAATCTGTCTCACCGAGTTCTTCTATTCGGTCTGAACGAGTTGGGTCAAATGCGTGTAACGGTTGGATTTTCTGTGGAGGCTATATATACCCCTCCACCCCCTTCTCCATATGAGAGTGAGCCATCAGAACGTGTCTACACTTCCACTACTCATTTTCTGAGAGAGAACCACCTACTCATGTGTTGAGACCAAGATATTCCAATCCTACCACAAGAATCTTGATCTCTAGCCTTGCCCAAGTTGCTTTCCACTCAAATCATCTTTCCACCATATCCAAATCTATGTGTGAGAGAGAGAGTTGAGTGTTAGGGAGACTATCATTTGAAGCACAATAGCAAGGAGTTCATCATCAACACACCATCTATTACCTTTTGGAGAGTGGTGTCTCCTAGATTGGTTAGGTGTCGCTTGGGAGCCTCCAACAAGATTGTGGAGTTGAACCAAGAAGTTTGTAAGGGCAAGGAGATCGCCTACTTCATGAAGATCTACCCGAGTGAGGCAAGTCCTTCGTCGGTGATGGCCATGGTGGGATAGACAAGGTTGCTTCTTCGTGGACCCTTCGTGGATGGATCCCTCCGTGGACTCGCGCAACCGTTACCCTTCGTGGGTTGAAGTCTCCATCAACATGGATGTATGATAGCACCACCTATCGGAACCACGCCAAAAATCTCCGTGTCTACATTGTGTTTGCCTTCTCCAAACCCTTCCCTTTACCTTCATATGCAATGTTTTACTTTTCACTGTTACACTCTTAGAATTGCTTGACTTGTACTAGTTGCTGAAATCTGCCAACACTTAAAATTTGGAAAATGTTAGATTTTTATTTGGTCAAGTAGTCTAATCACCCCCCCTATGGACCTATTTTCATTCCTACAAATGGTACCAGAGCTTTGGTCTCCATTTGCCTTGATTTCCATAGCTTTGGTGATCATAACCTTGGTTTCACAACCTAGTAGAGTATGGCATCTAGTGAGGGAAATTACCACCGTAGAGGTCCTTACTTTGATGGTATTGATGTCTACTACACAACCTTCTTCTTGTAGACGTTGTTGGGCCTCCAAGTGCAGAGGTTTGTAGGACAGTAGCAAATTTCCCTCAAGTGGATGACCTAAGATTTATCAATCCGTGGAAGGCGTAGGATGAAGATGGTCTGTCTCAAACAACCCTGCAACCAAATAACAAAGAGTCTCTTGTGTCCCCAACACACCCAATACAATGGTAAATTGTATAGGTGCACTAGTTCGGCGAAGAGATGGTGATACAAGTGCAATATGGATGGTAGATATAGGTTTTTGTAATTTGAAAATATAAAAACAACAAGGTAACTAATGATAAAAGTGAGCATAAACGGTATTGCAATGCTAGGAAACAAGGCCTAGGGTTCATACTTTTACTAGTGCAAGTTCTCTCAACAATAATAACATAATTGGATCATATAACTATCCCTCAACATGCAACAAAGAGTCACTCCAAAGTCACTAATAGCGGAGAACGAATGAAGAGATTATGGTAGGGTATGAAACCACCTCAAAGTTATCCTTTCTAATCGATCTATTCAAGAGTCCGTAGTAAAAAAACGCGAAGCTATTATTTCCGTTCAATCTATCATAGAGTTCATACTAGAATAACACCTTAAGACACAAATCAACCAAAACCCTAATGTCACCTAGATACTCCAATGTCACCTCAAGTATCCGTGGGTATGATTATAAGA